TATTTATTTATTCTGTACCTTGATTTTACCACTAAATATCTTTCGATACCAGCATATAGATATTTCATATTCTTTTAATAGTTGCATAGTATGCCACTACTCAAATATACCATTTTCATTTAACCAATTGCCTGTTGATGAACATTTATTATTATTACAAGTAATAAAATGCAGTTAAAACTCTTGTATATACATATTTACATATAAATACAAGTCTATTTATATGATAAATTCTAAGCAGCATGGGACTTCTAATCACCAACTGTGACAAATTGAATATGGTAGTCATTTAGTGGCATTTTGAAAGGGTTATAGGAGCATGGTCCATAGGAGCTATTTCTTCACTGGGACCTGTCCAAGTGGGTCTGACAGGTGGCCACTACAGGTTGGACATTACTTGTTATTTCTCTTGTTTCATTCTTCCTTCCCCATAGACAAACCTACCTATCTTCAAGCTGAAGGAGTCCTGCGTACGGAGGCGTTACAGTGACTTTGAGTGGCTGAAAAATGAGCTGGAGCGAGACAGTAAGGTATGGCTGCATTCTCTATGAGGCACCCTTGAAGGAGGAGACCTACATAGGCTAAGAAGGCATATGATCACAGTATACAAAATCTTGCAGTGAATGCAGAGAGAGTGAACACTTTCTTATCTACCAAATCTCAATATATTGGATCTGAGGAATATCCTTTGAAATTTGAAAGAGGATAGCCGGGTGTTGTGGCGGGTGCCTGTAGTCCCAGCTACTTGGGAAGCTGAGGCAAGAGAATCACTTAAGCCAAAGAGTTGGAGGTTGCTGTGAGCTGTGACACTGCAGCACTCTACCCGGGACAACAGCTTGAGACTCTGTTTCAAAAAAAAAAAAAATGATCTTTGAGCAGCACTGTAGTTCAGTTAGTAGGGCGCTGGCCCCATATTCCGAGGGTGGTGGCTTCAAACTCCTTCCCAGCCAAACTGCAACAAAAAATAGCCAGGTGTTATGGGTGGGAGCCTGTAGTCCCAGCTACTCGGGAGGCTGAGGCAAGAGAATATCCTAAGCCCAAGAGCTGGAGGTTGCTGCGAGCTATGACGCTACATCACTTTACTGAGGGCAACAAAGGGAGACTCTGTCTCTAAAAAAAAAAGAAAAGAAAAAAAGAAATGTGACAGAGTAAAATTCAGGATAATTTTTAAAAAATCAGTGTTACTTTTTTTTTGAGGCAGAGTTTCACTTTGTCACCCTTGGTAGAGTACCATGATGTCATAGCTCACAGCAGCCTCCAACCTCCAACTCCTGGGCTTAAACAATTCTCTTGCCTCTGGCTCGGTGCCTGTGGCTCAAGTGGCTAAGGCACCAGCCACATACACCTAAGGTGGTGAGTTCAAATCCCCAGCCCGGGCCTGCCAAACAACAATGATGGCTGCAACCAAAAAATGGCTGGGCGTTGTGGCGGGCACCTGTAGTCCCAGCTACTTGGGAGGCTGAGGCAGGAGACTCGCTTGAGCCCAGGAGTTGGAGGTTGCTGTGAGTGTGATGCCATGGCACTCTACCCAGGGGCATAGCTTGAGGCTCCGTCTAAAAAAAAAAATTTCTCTTGCCTCAGCCTCCCGAGTAGCTGGGACTACAGGTGCCCACCACAATGCCCGGCTATTTTTAGAGATGAGGTCTCACTCTGGCTCAGGCTAGTCTTGAACCTGTGAGCTCAGGCAGTCCACCCGCTTCAGCCTCCCAAGTGCTGGGATTACAGGTGTGAGCCACCACACCCAGCCAGTGTTACTTTTAAATAGCCAGTAAAGTTGTATAACTTAACTTATAGGTGCTAAAAATGGAAAGTATGGTGTTAGGAAAGTCCTAGCTAAAGTCTTAGATAGTAGTGGATGGCAAAGAAAGCATTATTTTGAGTTTATTTGCTTTCTTTTTTTTTTTTTAATAGAGACAGAGTCTCACTTTATTGCCCTTGGTAGAGTGCCATGGCATCACACAGCTCACAGCAACCTCCAACTCCTGGGCTTAGGCTATTCTCTTGCCTCAGCCTCCCGAGTAGCTGGGACTACAGGTGCCCACCACAACGCTTGATTATGTTTTTGTTGTTGTTGCAGTTTGGCTGGGGCCGCGTTTGAACCCACCACCCTCGGTATATGGGGCTGGCGCCCTACCCACTGAGCTACAGGCACCACTCTATTTGCTTTCTTTTAAGATAATAAACTTGTCCTTTCACAGAAACAGAGTTGTATTAATTATTTTATGTGAGTCATCTTGACTTACAGTCTTAGTTCTTGCAAGTTGCTGGCTGTGGGAGAGGATGGACACTATGGATAATAAAAAATGAGATATATAGTGTTTTATCATCTCATTTCCACTTTGTCTCTCTCCCCTGTGGCTGATATATTGTGTCTGCCTGCAGATTGTAGTACCGCCACTGCCAGGGAAAGCCTTGAAGCGGCAGCTCCCTTTCCGAGGAGATGAAGGGATCTTTGAAGAATCTTTCATTGAAGAAAGGAGGCAGGGCCTTGAACAGTTTATTAACAAGTAAGCCAAGTTCCTGGGGGCTCTGCTTGGTACTTTTGCCATCATGGTCTTTGTATGTGTTTTTTCTACCTCATCTTTTGTAATGGGTACTGTGATGTGGTCCCAATTATTGTGGTGGGCTGACTGGACAGTAAAACTTCATTCTTTTGAGCAAAATTCTGATCCCGTATGTCAGGACCTTAGAATGTACTGTGTGGCAGTTGTATCTAGGGATTTCCCTACCTTTCCCCTCTATCTTCCCTTTCCCTCTACAGTATTAGGGTTGATGTGGTACCCTACTGCTATCCTCCAGTGGCTTAAACCTTAGGGCTGACCTTACCCTTTCTCCCCTTTTCACACTCCCATCCCTTTGCTGATTCTCTCTGATCCCAAATACTACTGATAACCATCTTGATCTCTTTGTAGAATTGCTGGGCACCCACTGGCTCAGAACGAACGCTGCCTACACATGTTCCTGCAGGAGGAGGCAATTGACAGGAACTACGTCCCTGGGAAGGTGCGCCAGTAGGAGCCCCTCTCACCACTTGCCCTCTACTTTCCTGCTGAAATGACATTGGTTTTTACACTAAGCCCCTCTCTCTTTGATCTGAAGTTGGCTGCCCATCCCTTGGCCTGATAGACTATCTGGCATTGTGCTCCTTGGTACCTGACTACACCATGTGGGCATTCTGCTAGGATCCTCTTCTCTGAGGAGGTGTGGGAAACCATAGGCAGATGTCCTTGCTTGGGGTTGGGAGGTGGGGATATTGGACTGGAAGGCAATTTTGGGGCCATTTACCCATGCCAGAAGACTAACTTTAGGGGAAGGGGGTCTTGTTCTGGTGAGGCACTTGGACATACTGCTGCTGCAAGTCCAGGGGATTTTTATTACTCTTAGGTTTAACCAGGAACACTGAACAGGGAAAAACCCTGCCTTTCCTGCCTGCATGAACTTTTTCATTTTTGGGAAGGTGGTAAAGACCCAGAAGCTCTCCTTTTTTCTTCTCCAGGCCTGCTCCCAGTTTTCTTAACAGTTTCTTTTATTCATTTCTCTCTCTTTGTCTTACTGCTTTTCATGGCAGTAATCCTTCTAGAGTCCAAGCATTGTGTTGTATGGAGCAAGGTTTGTGGGTTTTCTGGGCCCATCATCATGGCTGCCTCAGAGTCAGAAGAAAGCCATAGGGCAGTAAGGGAGCTCCTAGTGCCTAACCCCTCTCGTTTTGTGGCTTCCCATTCTGGCGGCCCACTCATGAGTGGGTGAGTTAATATGGGCCAGCAGTACTCCCTGCCCAAGGCCTTGCTACTTTGTAGGTTTGGTGGCATAATGGGTGGGGGTAACTCACCACTGCCACGTAGCTCTAGGACCCATGGGGGTTGATTATGTTCTGGGTTCCTCCCAGTGGTAGGGAAGGGCATCACCACTCTTCCATTCTCCTTCCCCCCACCACCATCCATTTGGTGCTGCCACTGGGCAGAAGCACATGAACAAACCACACAGTCTCTTGACTTCTCACTAAGCACTTTGAGCTGTTGAATTGGGTTCAGAGGCAAGAGTTGTCACTACCTTCCCTAGCTTGGTCACAGGGTTATTGAACTGCCTGCACTTGTTTTCCATACAACCCCAGCATTTTCCTCAGGAGTTGAACTAGTGGCTGGATATGAATTTCCTAAATCTTAGAATCTGAAGCAGCTTCTTGAGGCTGGCAGCTGTCCTGCGCCTCTGTCTGGGAGGAGATAGTTTGTTTGTTGGAGCCTGATTTCTGTACCAAGTGGTGGGATGACAGCAAGTTAACTCTGGTGCCAGATGAAAGGCTCTTTGATTAGACTCCTTATCACAGAAGGATTAGAGTTTTCTATATAGGACCTTGGGGAAAAGGATTGCTGATTTCTACATGACCCTGATCAGAGAGATTAAGGTTGGATTTTGATATGGATTTGGAGCCCATCTAAATGTTGAAATGCCCTGAGATAGCTCTCCAGCTGCGTGCCTGTGCCAGGGGCTGAGCAGCCCCCAGAGAGAGGCTCTGCTCCCTTTCCCACCTCGCCAACGTTGGTGTTGTTGCTGCCTCCTTTTTGATTTGTATCCTCTGTTATAGACTTTTTTTAAAAAAAAAAAAAAAAAGATTCCTTCTTTCATTGTGCACAAGTACTGAGAGTCCGGGGCCCCATTTCTGCTGTGTATATATCCTGACTCGGGGCTTTTTTCAGCAAACTGTTCATTCTTCTGTCAGACAATGTCATACTCAACTCTGTTCATATTAAACCACTGTGAAGCAAGCCTCTGTTTTCCTGCTTAAGTTGTTTGTTAAGTATTAGTGTCTAGACTATGCTGGATAATGTGCAGAAATCATACAACGTGGCCAATCTTCTGAGCTAATAAGTTTTATATTTAATTTTTTAAAAGCAGAATCCTAACTGCCCATGGTGATCCTTGCAGTTTACAACTGACTTTGTCACAGAGGTAACATATCTGCTTGCAGGAAGTAGCCATAGGCTCAGTACCTGTGGTTTGGATCAGATTTAGTAGATTTGGTTTTTAAACTTGTGGGTTTATACTAATTTGGTCAAAATATATTTATAGTATATATGTGTATGTATGTATATGTAAGATGTGTACATATACATGAATGCATGTGCTCATCATCTGATATACCTGCACACCACCAACAAACACTGTTTCTTTCAGAGGCTTTTTACCTCAGTTGAGACTTTTTTCTCCAAAGGTTGGATGCAGGTAGAAAAGTGGGAGAACTCTGAGAACTTTTTTTTTGAGAGGGAGTCTTATTATGTCACCCTCGGTAGAGTGCTGTGGTGTAACAGCTCACAGCAACCTCAAACTCTTGGGCTTAAGAGATTCTCTTATGGGTGGCACCTATGGCTTAGTGAGTAGGGCGCCGGCCCTATATACCGAGGGTGATGGGTTTGAACCTGGCCCCAGCCAAACTGCAACAACAACAAAAAATTTTCTTGCCTCAGCCTCCCAAGTACCACAGGTACCCACCACAATGCCTGGCTATTTTTTTGTTGTAGTTGTTATTGTTGTTTGGCAGGTCAGGGCTGGGTTCGAACCCGCCAGCTCTGGTGTATGTGGCTGGTGCCCTAGCTGCTGAGCTACCGGTACCGAGCCTACTTTTTTTTTTTTTT